AACCTGAATACCGCGGTTTAATTTGGAGTCGATTTCACACATACAGTTTGGTGGGCGGTAAATCGCAGCTATAAGACATGTCTGTTTCACAACCATAGCTGGCATCAAAGCGAATCTGGGGCACGGATCTCTGGATGGTCTATAAATTCAAGTCGGCGGTTAGCCTTATAATCCAGAATTACGTCACCACCTCTTCCAGCTCTGTCATTCCGAAGCAGTGACATTTCAGGTAAACTGACTTCAGAATCTGATATCTCAAGGTTTAACCAGGTCTCCGTAATCATAATGAGATCCCGCTGTTGTGACGCCTGGCGTTCTCTAAGTTAGGCCAACTTACTAAGAAAACCTTGGGCCTTAGTGTACAAACATGATAGTGTTCTTGATATTAGAAGTGTGTAGATGGACAACAAATTCGTGTTTAGTTTCAAGCCGACCGTTCGTCGGTCAGCCGGTAATCGATTTCTGCTTGGGTCATTGGTTCTTGAATTTCAGGCAGGCTGCATGGAGCATTCCAGATCGAGACGTTCTCTCGTGTGTTTCCCAGTCCCGTCAGGTGTCGTTAATGCTATATTGTCCAGAACTCTGCAGGATTGTAGAGGCAACCGTTTTATTGAGGTTACATGTTTCAATGACGTTCTGAAAACTAGTGACCGTGCGCCTGCTATCTTTAACCTAATCTGGGTAGGTAACCTGGAGCGATGCTTCAACCAGCTACCCAATAGGAATTCTGTCATTCCTTTAGAGTGTAGCACGACTTCAATATGTTTGGACCGCAGCCTCTGTAGTTTAGAGATGTAGGAATTCTTGTTAGTGATTTAGCGATAACGTGGTTCAGAGAGAGTGCTTCGCGGATGTAGCACCCCTGCTCTCGGTCGTTTTTGCACCACGTGATTAGGAGAGCCCAGTAGTTCAGGAACACCATGAACGAATACGGTTTTCTTACTTTCGTTTGTAGAAGGGCCGCTACGGCACTCTTTTTCCTTTGACCGTCTTTCCAAGGAATATTTGGTAGTATGCGTACCCCGCTCGATGAATTTCGAAGGTGAAATGCTGAGAGTAAGACTATCTCTGTCTCCTCAGTTGAATTCAAGGTTACTCGAAGAAATCGGGGTCCGTCGTAGTGCACTGAATTTGGATGACACGCTACGCGTCGTAGTGCAGTTGGTTCAACCCGAATACGAATAGCAAGGCAGATGGAATGCCACTGGTTGATAACTTGCTCTTTATTGTGCCAGATCTGGGCTCAGGAAGATTAACGCACTGTGGTTCCGTTTAGCGAATGTCGGTTTGGGGTCGTGGCTGGTAATTTGGATTGTTTGGCGGGCATTAACGAACGCTGTGAAAACGGCGTCGCATCGCTCATGCTTGGTCCAGAAAATGGACGTACGGGTGTCTCTTTAGGCGTTCTTGTCGAGGCGATTGATGCGTATGTTACCCGGCTCTAGACTGTCGGTGTCCGTGTTGTGACTAACTCGTATGGCATCGAGGTGAGGAGTTAATAGCAGTCACGCCGGAAGTGGCTTGCCTACTTCAAGGGTTAGTAATTATCGGAGTAGGTGGTGCAGATGCCGTCGGGCGGTTAGGAAACCTGACTTTAGTCTTCTACTAAGGGGACAGAACTTTGAGAGGTTTGCTGTTGAGGAAGATCAGTGTTGTTAGATTCTAATGGCAAAGCTTTGAAGCTCGCAATCTGCTGGACTGTTTCAGTCAGATTTTCACACTTTTTCACGAGCGCTATTATATAACTGACTACTGGGAGTGCTCCGCATGGTTCGTAAAACCGGAGCGAATCAGTCAGGTTGATGTGTCACTTGTATTGCAGTTGACTAAAACCAGCACAGAGGGGGTGGAATGGAAGGCCGCAAAATTCACAAATAATGGCTCCTCTAACTGGTCGGGTACACATCTGATTACCACATTTGCGGTCAGCTGGAATCAATTCCATTGAAGGCCGTTATTGCAAACAAACGCTGCCCTCGTCTGGTCACATGAGGTAGAGGGCGAGTGACGCTCGCGTTCTTTGTCTCAGTTGCACGCGCGACGTCGGTTAACGTAGGCGAGTGTGCACGACGAGGACACTGGTACACGAAGATTGGCTAGCTTATTGATCCACACTGGTTCCTGTAGGACAAAGCTTGTAGTGGGTGGATGACAGCGAAAGTGCCGGCGATGGGCGAATGCAATTGAAACCACAGATTGAGTCGTAGCTTCGTTAGAAATGATCCTATGGATGTAATTCTAGGACCACCAGATAGCGCGGAGAATTCTTGGTCGGCCAGTGTCACGGCAGTAAAAACTGTTAAAAACAACAGAGTGGCGCGTCTGGATGGATGAAAGTAGCGTGCTAAAACAATGCGGGTAGCACTAACTACTTTCCGTAGGAAATAATTCCGTAAAAATATGCCCACTGAACACGGAGGGTTAATCCGATTCGGATGAGTATATGACTGCGCTAGGTTAAGAGAAGTGAAACTCTATGACAGAGGAGAGCACGTTTACTATGTGACCAGTCGAGTGAATGAACTCAGTGTCAGTGAATTGATTATGACGTATTTGATTTTCATAAATAATCCCCATTTGAGTCAGAAGTAAGCAAATGCGCGAAGAATATTCTTTTCGATAATTCTCATCGGGCGTGTACAATTATGAAGCAAAATTTTTTGGAGAGAATAAAGCCCGTAGAGGCCTGTACAGAGAGCAACCAACTCATTAACTGGGCAATATGAAAACTAAATCAATGATTTGATCAATCAGATTGTCGCATTAGGAAGCAGGTGATCAAGGCAGGTCAAGTTCAAGGCCAAGGCAATTTCAGAGCCTGTAGCAGTGTGCGCTGTTTGCACAGCTCTGGTTTTAGAACCTTGATAGCAATGGCTTCAGAAATGCTCAACAAATGTTTCTTAAGCTGTTTTGGGTAGCGTTTAGGGATAGTATAAACGACTCGAAACGACTGGTTCATCTGGACTTGATGTCCAGTGTCGACCAAGTGTTGTAATACGGAACTGTTGATGGATTTTACCGTGCCTTTTCGTAGTGACGCAGGACAATGTTCAGCGATTCTTTTGGACAAACACCTGGTCGTATGTCCAAGATACCTAGCACCACAGGTGCAGGTGAACTGGTATAAGACAAACGATTCGGACCGAACCGGGAGTTTATCCTTTAAGCGCTGAAGAATCAATGGTCTTGTTTCGGCAAGTAGTTTTAGATTGGCGGCTGGAAATGTCTTGGCCACTGCGGTCGAGATTTTTCTATTCAACAGTTCGAACGCGACGTCACCTTTAAAGGGAACTGTAAGGAATACATCCTTTTTGGGCACTGTAGCGACACATTTGACAGCCTCAAGCTGTTTGGAGTGCTTTTTGATGAAAGGTACGGGGTATCCATTTTCTTGCAGCGTGTTAAAGATGAGCTTGGTTTCGCTTTCCAGCGTCTCTGGACTGCAGATTGCTCTGGCACGATGGTATAAGCAACGGACTAAATTCCTCTTGTATCTCAGCGGTACAAAGCTAAGAAAGTGGGTGTATTGACCTACCCACGTCGCTTTGCGAAAAACACTCCTTTTGATCGTCCCGTTTTCACGCCGATGCAATAGAACGTCTAAGAACGCCAAGCAGCCATCTTGCTCAACTTCACTGGTGAATTTTAATGATGGATGCACTCTGTTAAACTGATCTAATAGGGTTAGATAATCGGTGGAAGAGTCACAGACAATGAAAGTGTCGTCCATGTAACGGTAGTATAAATCAAATGAAGATATAAGGGTGTTCAGGTCTCCACGTTCAAGCTTTGAAAGGAAGATGTCGGCCAAAAGGGGGCCTAGGGGAGAACCCATTGCGACTCCATCTATCTGTCTATAATAGATTCCATTAAACAGAAATTGTACGTTGAAGGTGCAACGCAGAATCAATTCTTTTAGTTTATTCACCGGAATTCCAACATCAATGTTTCTCTCAGTGATTCTACGCAATCAAAATCATGTGTGCCGCTCTTTACTGCAACTCAGCAGTAACACTAAACTTAGAGGCCACTCCTTGAAATTAGCAGAACAATACAGCCGCCTTGCGGCCTTATAAACTTCTTTTTCATTCATGTGTGTCAACCACGGAACGCTCTCCCCGAATCTGTTGTTTTAACATCCACGCTAGCCATATTTAAAAGTCGGTTGGATGACGCACCCTGTCACTTACATATTGTTACTTGACGCTACTCACCATCCTACTGTGTGAGTGGGTTGTGGCCGCGCTACTTCAAGCTGGACCACGTTTACCTTGAAGTCATTCGGTCACTGGAATTGTATCTGAAGCAGATAACTAGTTGACTACTTCCAGAAGAAAAGCTCGTGATGATGCACTTAGAAGAGCTAAAAGTTGTGATACGGATACCACTAAACTGCACATCATGTTGTGAGTAACTGTAATGTTAGGTTAATGTGATGTCGCTAACCTACTCCAAGACCCAAAGTCTATCGTCCGGGAGGAACTCGACAGCAATAAGCACACAAATTTCTAGTCTATGGCGAAGTTGAATAAGAATTGTGATGCGGACAACTTCGTCTAACGCCACTATTGACACTGAAGGATAACGAGTGACAACCGTATACTCGAAGATGATTTGAGGTTGAAGGATTGATTGTTTGGATGACATTGATAAACTTCCCAAGAACCCCCTTTTCAGTAGGCAGCTCCGTCGACTGAGCCAAACTCAGCTAAAATGTCTAACCATCCGACGGCCGAATCCAAACTTGTATAAAAATTTGACCTTGTGCCTAGCCAAAGCTTTTTTATGGCGTGGATTATGTCACTGGAAGTGATGACCTCGAGTGCCGCAGTTTCTAAGTGATTACTCAAACAATGGTACACATTGAATTATACCAATGTACGTGTATCAACGCAAACCGACGACTTATGAACACAACAATCCGGATTGTTGTACAGAAGGTCGCTTGTTATTTTAAAATTCTTTGAAGCAAACGGCCGCATAACGCGCATCTCTTTCAGGTCCAACTTGCACAAAATGGCTGACAAAAAGCTGGTTCATGTCGACGATGCGCAGGGAAAGTGAGTAGCCGATTCACACTAATGTATTTTTATACCACAGATACGTGCTGTCCAAGTTAAATGTTTCGGCAGTAATAAGTAAGTCTACGATGATCAACCGATATCATCCCATGAATCCTGTTTATAGAAGCCTACCAAAAGGCTAGAAAACGTTTGTTCGACAGCAGGAAGAGCATGGAAAGCTTCGGTAAACTGTATGCGAGTTAAACGGGAAGAAACAGGAAAGACGTACGTAGTAAAACCTACTTGAATTGTTAGTTTTTTTTACATCTTTGTCTACATGCATTACAAGCCAAATACAAAAGTGATACAGATATAAACTTTTGAATACAAAGTTAATACTTGAATATGCAACGGTAACATTTTGTGGAAAAAGAAAACTTAAACATCCGTGCGCTTCACTTTTGATGATTCACCACGGCAAAGGGGGCAGTACCATTTACCCTTTGGTTGCACACGAATGTCCACGCAGGCGAAGTGGAACCATTCCACCGCGCAGTGCTTGTTGTCACAAGCAATCATATCGCCAAATGAAACCTTTTTGCACAAGCAATACAGTCTTTCGTCGGGACTGACATCGCCGATGTCACTAGCATGCCTAACAGGGCTACGCATGCCAAGTGCACCCTTGAATCTTGGGCTACCCGATTGAGAAGCGGAATGCCTCAGTGATTGATCAGGCGAGTGGGGAGCGTTGGGTTTAGAGTATTGTTGAGCTAAGTTGTAGTTTCTATCCCTGCGCCTACTAGACAAGCCAGTGTCACGAAGATAGGCGGGTCCACCCGAATGTCGCCGGATGCTGGCAACATCTGGATCAAGGACCTGAGCACCACCGCTTTCTACGGATGCTGGGTCAAATTTTCCGCTATCGCTAGTGGACTTCTTTTGACGGTAAGGAGTTCGTCGGCCAGAATGATAAAGTTTGCTTTGAGGGCCGGTGGGATCAATCGATGACGAAGAAGTCAGTGATCCTTGATCTTTGCAGTAGTAAGGTCTGATCTCTCGGATATGCAATGGTGCCGTCTCGGTGTCATTATCGTCCGTATTCTCGCTTGCATCCAGTTCATCGGAAGAGCGACCATCTTCATTAGTCCATGAAGACTCACAGAGAGTCCCAAAAGCGCGAGCAGTACTGTTCCGAGTGCCACCAGGATTACCGCTGATTTTAACTTTTCCTCCGTCTATAGAATCATTGCTGGCAGAGCGAGTGTTTTGACCGTCATCTTCGAAATAGTAGCGTTCCATGTTTGACCAGTCAGTGCGATTGGATGAGCGACAGGAAACGTCCAAACGGGAAACTCTGTAGCCTAGGCGCTTGCCAGTTTTCAAATACCGTGGGCCAGCGATAGCTTCTGGTACGTTGCGTCGTCCTTCACGCATAAGAATAGCGCGGTTAGTGCTTGTTCTGTCGACGGTTGAAAGAGCACGTTGCTTCTTAAGACGTTGTTGTTGTTGCTGTCGCTGCTGCTGCTGACGAGCACGAGAGTACCGTGGATACACCCGCGCAAGTTTGCCGTGTCTAACCTCAGTGCTTGTGTGCTCTCTCAGATGTGACTCCTTTGCACAGTTACGTTTAATAGACCGAAACATGGATTTATGTCTTCCGATCGGATGAGATCCGGTATTGTCCAGCCGGCCGAGAGCGTGACGAGAACGAGAAAGTCTGCCAGTGTTAGGCGCAGTGCGCTGGGACAGTCGCGATTTACGTCTGCAGGATGTAACACGGGACTGAAGTTCACTCTCAGCAGCAGCGTAAGTAGTATGTTTGCTTGTACTTTCTGAAGTTCCTGGTTCGTTCGCATTATCTACATCTTCAATATTCACCTCGCTCTCCATGTTGATTGCAGTGCTGGGTGCAGAAGACTGCGTGTTTTCTGACTTCAGTTTCGCTTGCAACATCAGTAATTGCTGCGTCTGTGTCTCGAGAATTTCGTGCATCTGCAAAAGGGTGAACAGCAAACGCCTGTGTCATAATAATGTCTTGCGGCTATTGTGAGTGAACAAGATGTAATAGCACAGCAGAAACCTAGATTATTACAACAAAGCGAGGAAACATATACAGAAAAAAGGTCAATTTCCATCGAGAAAGGACAATAACTGGATGCATAAGGGTGTGGGTCATGAGCTCAGAGGACCAATAAAGACACTGTAACCTTACTTGGAGTAAGGGAACCGCAGTACAACAGCAACAGAGGACAATCCGAACGCGTTCCAGCCGTTTCGCTTTTCAAAAGTCAGACACTTATCAAGGGATACTTCGTGAATTCGGGGATATCGCACTCAACCATAGGGAAATTAAAAGAAACCAACGAAGTTCATGTTTTGGGGGTTAAAATGACCATGTTCAACCTTATATCATCGCAAGTGAGCCCATTTATAAAAAGATAGTTTCATCTTGAGTAAAACACAATAATAGACGCTGTCTGCTAAGAAAGGGTGTGCCCGAGAAGTATGTAAACATGCGAGCGCTTTACGCGCGTAGCTCGGGTAGAGTGAGGGCTTACGGCAAGCTGTCGCCGCCCTGTAATATCTCCAGCGGTGTACGACAAGGATGCCCGCTGTTACTTTTCCTCTTCAACTTCGCTATTGACGAAGTCATGGAAATCGTGTTCACAGGACGACTTAAAAGGTGTGGAGCCACTCCCAGGAGAACGACTTCTTGGCTTGGAATAAGCAGACGATATTGTCCACATCTGTGACAGCTCACAAACGTGCCAATTGGCACTGAACAGATTAGCACTCGCTGTCACTCGTTTCTGGCATTGCTTTGCACCCTCGAAATGCAAAGCTTTCCTCCAAGATTGTCAGGGACCATCTCCTTCGCTGAACCTTGGTGGGGATCAGCTAGAAGTCGCTCAAAAATTCAACTACCTAGGTAGTTGTATCAGCGCCAATGGAATTGAAGACGGGGTCACAAACCGTATAGAAAAAGCAGGAGGCGTTTGCTAACCTTCACCGCCTATGGTATCGGCGCGACATCACTCTCCATGAAGAGTAGAGTGCATAATGCGGCCGTATGTTCGAACGTGCTCTAGGGCTGTGAAACCTGACCCTTTAGATCAGCAGACATACGGAGACTAGTTAAGTTCGACCACTGGTGCTTTCAGTTTGGCTAATATTTGGTGGGAACACCGTGTGAGCAATGAGCGTGTTCAACGCCTCGTTTATAGCACAAGAAGAAGAAGCGAACCGCTCAGCACCGTTATATCATGCACCAGGCTCCGATGGCTGGGCCTAGTGTTGTGCATGCCAGCCCACCGACTCACGCGACGTGCGTTGTTTGCGCGCCGGTATTCTGGATGGAAGAGGAGAGGTGACCAAGTGATGAGTTGGTCGAGGGGAATGAAGGCCCTCACTTCGAAGCTAGTCTCAGTTGGAGCATCACGTCTCCCTGGTTGGTGTCCAAAAGACGATGAACACGTTTGGCTGAATACACCTGCTGTCATGGCAAAGAGCCGACTTCAGTGGCGTTCCTGCTGTGAGTTTCTTTGTCCTTCCCCTTCCATTTTAGACTCCTCCTTCAATCACGATCCCAATTAGTAGGGATAATCAGACTACTTTGCGGCACAAAAGCCGGCTATTAGCTCTGCGGAGCAATGTCCATCCGTTACTGGTGACTCAGCGGGCATGTCCGTTGCACTGTCTTTTCTTCTGTCTTGTGGCACAATAGCTGAGGTGTTTTCCAACTGTAGCTAATGTGTACAATGATGACAATAATAGGCTACCTACAAGGTCACGATCTGGGGAAAACTTGGACGAGAAACGTGAGCAAGACCTGGAACCAAATGATGGAAAACGTGTCTAGGGAAGATGCTAGCTTGCAGCACATCGCTCCAGACTATCTTCCGTAGTTTGAATAGCGAACGGAGAAAACGAACATTGATAGATGCACGCATTCCGTATTATTGAATCAGTACCAATGCAATAGTATTACAAAAGCAATCACAATTGGCGCGGTGACCAGCCGCGAGGGTCATAGGACCAGGACAACGGAGGGTTCACAACTAAATGATTTTACACATACAATGCAGGTCCTATGTGGCCTATCACGACAGCCTCTGGGAACCGCGAGAAGCGTTAAATAAAGTGACTCAATAAAATCCGAAGCGGCGAGCTGGGGTGAATCCGATGACCATTCACCAAAATACACCTGCGTATTGATCCTCCACTGAATCAAGTTAGGTAGGTGTTACTTTACTTTTGAATCAAAAACCGTCAGCTCTGCATCTGTAATTGACTCCGCTGTCACATGCAAATTGGTATACACAGCGTGATTGGGCGCCGATGGGTTCCTCTTCCCTTAATGAAGGTATCGAGAGTTACCGGGTTCGACTGATCACTAAATTCTTCGGAGCGCAATGGTTATGAGCTTGGCTGTCTTCACTGTGGAAGCTCGAAGTACACCTTTTACTTGGGTTTTGTCAAACACCGTTCGGAGGTCTGACCTGGCCGCGCTTCTCAATGAAGCGTCTAGGGTAGGAGATTTCCATGAGCATTCTGGTAACAGTGTCTACTTCCTTGTTCGACTAAGTACACCTGACACAAGTGAAGTGTTTAGCATTGCAAGTTTGTGGCGTATTGGTGTAAAACTTGTAAAGCGCAGATACTGTCCAGATCATGTATGCTTCCCGTATACGGACGGCTTAACGCGTTCGTCATTCCTTCGGCTGATGAGTATGTTCAGATAGGGTAGGCACTCATTCATGGATATCTTTGAAGTTGACAAAGATGCTATTAAACTGGTACACCAAGAGCTCAATTTGCATCCTCGATTATGTCATCGAGATATTGTTTGTAGTCAAAAGTATCATCAATAAATCGGCAAAAATGGAGCCAAATGACTGCTAATAAGCACTCTATCGATTAGGCGGACTGAAGTTGTGTTGATAGAGGAATAAAGCTATTCTGTGTATAAAGATAGAAACTGCCTCAGTAAGTCTGACAAGGATTGCACACGGAAATTTTCGATATCAAGCAACTGAAACATTTAACCTGCCGGCTTGATCAAATGGACATAAATAAGCAAAGGTTGAAAGCCCAAAGATCACATGACCTTGTGGGCTAGGTCGAGACTTTCAATGAGTTCGGATGAATACTTAAGGCTATCTACATTAAAATGTTACCCGAGTAGAGTTAAGATTCGTACAAACAAGTGTAGGGAAGTACCTATTGGTCTGGTGGCATGCCTTTCCCCATTCGTCTTTGGCAACTCGTAGAGCCGTGATGTTAATGAGCCGTTCGGCTTCAGGGTCCTCTAAGTTTCGTCGTCGATATAGTGTAACAGAAGTAAGTATAAGTGACGATAGGCTTTTCGGCTGATCGAGTTAATAAGATTCGCTCTCGTTGCTCAGTAAGCCCAATAGTTTCTGAATGTAGTCGATTGACGTTCATGGCTACTGCTCCTTAGCTTTTGCCTAGGTTCATTACAACCATTCCCTTATGCTACAGTCTTCGTTACGCTTGCAAGTGTCAGCTTGTGTGCGTACATTTATTGTTCACCAGTACCATAATACCTCATGAGCGATGTCAGGCCGGCTTATTCCTAAACCAGCTGACCGCGTCCTGGTTGGTTGGCAGGAGTTCTGTTATCTCGTCGAGAAAAGTAGCAAACTCTGTCTGGATAAATGGTAGGTTCATCCTTGAAATCAAGTCCCAGAGCTAGTTTCCAATTGTGGATCATCAAGTTGCAAGTCTGATACGTTCAGGATATAGTAACCAGCATAGGATGACATGTGGGCTAGGGTGTTTTACATGCCGGTTCATCCAATGGCTTACTAAGGATTTGAGAATGCGCGCATTCATTGGTAAGAAGACTTCAACCAGTGGGTCCATAATTGCCGTGATTACGTAGTTAGCAAAGTGAGACCATTGGATAGTAAAGGAACTGACGTGATAGCGAAATCAGTGGTGCACTAGCACTCTCTCGGGTACCTCCGACCCTCAACTCATTCTGTTAGTAAATGCAACTTCCAATGTCGATTCTTTTCCATGGAACTTAGTTGGTTTATTGTCTATTTTTATCATCATGAGGTGTTAAGCTGAGTCTGTTGATCATGGTGGGCAGGGTACAGTTAACGAACTGAGCTGAAACCGCATAGATGGTGGCAGGAACAAAGCTATGACAATGCTGTCAACGCCGAAAGATCGACAGAGATCAACATGATTAAACAAGGGGAGAAGAAGAAATAAGCATTGTGGTGACTGCGCAATTTCGTGCCCACATCAATCACAAACATGCAAGCAATGATAGATATGCAACAGCCAGTCAATGCGCCTCGCGCTACCATGATTGGCCGTCGTAGTTTATGAAGCACTTTAGCGATGTAACCAAGCGAGATCGTGCATCAACAAACCAAGAGAAGCCAATCTTTATCGAATTGGAACTCAAAGATGATCACATTCTTAAAATAAGAACGAAACACCAGTGCTTCAATGAAAAAGGAGTACTACGCAGCTAAGATGCCGTAGTGCATGTCCCAATGCGTATACAAATTCACCTGTAACTGCAGAGACAGCTTTGTCGGGAGCAATAAGCGAATTTTAGATATCATGATCTATGAACATGTTCCCAGGTGGGTACGCAGCTGGTTGACATCGGCGACGACGAAATCGTGTTACCGCGTCAATCACAAGACACTTGCTGTGCACCGGCCAGGGAGTTGATCCCGATGACACGTTCAACATCCTGACGTGAATATAAGGCGGCATCGGTGAGGAAGCCTCCTTGCGACTATCGCTGTTTCGTGTCATACTCATACGCAAATAACTCAGTGTCACACATTCACACGTTCAGTATGTACCTATTACGAGTCATGCCTTGCGTCGTCTCGAACCAACTCTAGTGAGCAGTGTGGGCCTCAGCATGGAAGGCGAGATGGACCGACACAACCCCATATCAAGCAGTCGGAGACCTCGGTGGTACAACAGGCCAGGAATAGAAGTAGAATAATGGCCGGTGGCAAATTAGGTCATTCTTTTAGTGGTAACTTAAGATGTGGACTATCAAAAAATCGGTCTTGCAGGGACAAGCGGTTTATTCGATAAATTATCCCCATTTGAGTTGGAAATAAGAAAATGCGCGAAAGATATACTTTCGATAATTCCCATCGGGCGTATACAATTATGAAACAAAAGGTTGGAGGGAAAGAAGCTCGTAGAGGCTTGTCTAGCTTTGGTAAAGGGCTATACAGAAAGTAACCAACTCATTAACCAGGTAGTATAAAAACTAAATCAATGGTTTGATCTATCAGACTGTCGCATGAGGAAGCATGTGCTCAAGGCTGGTCATATGTCAATCTTGAAAGTCGAGGTGAAAGGACAGAGATAGTTCAAGGCCAAAGTAGTTTTAGAGCCCGTAGCAATATGCGTTGTTTGCACAGCTCCGGTTTCAGAAGTATCGGAAAGAACATTCTTCGCGCATCTGCTTATTAGATAAAGATAAACAAAAGAAAGCATCAGCATATATTGTTAGTTCACCCACATGAATAATGACGATCTTTGCCCGATAAGGTTCCTCCGTAGTGAACCCGAATGTCGGCCAACCAGCAGATTCACTTAGAGACAGATGAACACGCATGCTGCGTCCAGTGAGCGAAACCGTCATGTTCGCTCCATGGGTGCATATGTTTACTGCGGATAGCGGCCTCCGGTCGGTTATTTTTGGCTGTGTTGACAAGATCACTTTGTGTTGACTTTGCGTTCATTGGAACTATTTCGTGGAAATTGAGATACAGTTCAGTTTCATTTCCGATTCTGAAATTTCCGACCAGAAATACTTGTGTTTTCATCGCTTGGTTTCGCCGATCTTGCTATCGCCATTTTCTCCGCCAATTGACCTCCATCTTGTTTTCGGATAATTCACAATGCCGAAGCAGTCATCCTGTGGTACTTGCTCCAAACTAGTCGGATATCGTGCAAATGCCCTCACGTGTGTTTTGTGCCAAGTTAAATACCACATTTCATGTGTTGGATTATCAGTTGAGCATTTTCATCGTCTTCGCGAGATCCAACACGATTTCTTCCAAAGTATATGTGAAAATCACCGAAACAAAATACAGCCAGAAAGAGTAAAGCCGACGTGTAGGCCTCATCGTTTCGTTGCGAACAGCTCCGTGTGTTTGGCCTAACAACCTAGCCCGAAGAGACTTCAGGTTTCGGCTCAGTCGTCCTCCTCTACCCGTGCAAACTCACCGGCACGAAGTCCAACCGTTGTGAGAAGCCCAGTTGCACCTGGCCTAAATTGTTTACCTTTGTTGTGTCCAACGGACACTGATGTCCCAGCAGGTGAAAGTCTGAGTGCTGAAGACCAGTGGAAAGTACAGAGAACGAAATTACGAAGGGACATTGGGCGTTCAAGTTCTGTAAGTCAACAGTTAGCCAAACCACGTGAGGCTGGTGGTACACTTCGCCCTGCAAGGTCAACCTCGTCCGAACAGAGGAGTTATAATATCGTGATCTTTCACGCACCGGAGTCCAGGGATCCATCACCTCAAGTGCGCTACGATCACGATGTCGAGTTTTTACAGGGTCTAATTGATAGATTCCTCGACGCTGGTGAGGACTCGGTAAAAGTGAGGCAGATTACCCGTCTTGGAAAGCAAGGTGAACAACAAAATCGGCCTATGAGAATCACTTTTGTAGACGAAGCCAGTCCAAGACTGGTCATGTCCCGCCTAAGTAGGCTGAAAGGTTTGAAGATCCATGTTCGTCCCGACCTGGACCCAGTAGACATGGAGCGGCTCAAGTCTGCCATCATTGAGCTGAAAAGACGCACTGGTGATGGGGAAACAAATCTTCGTATCGTAAATTTTCGGGTGGTTTCCAACAATCCGCGATTCAGGATAAACAGGCTGCTCACACTTCAAGCACGCCCGGTGGCTCCTGCTGCGGCCTGCGAGTAGCCTTCACAAACGTTTGCAGTATTATGAATAAGCGCGATGAGCTTTGTTGTTTCGTTGCGTCTGAGCGGCCAGACGTAGTGGGACTCGCAGAGACATGGCTGCATGCAGAGTTATACACCCAAGAACTTGAACTCAACGGTTACTCGTGTTTCCGATGTGATAGACTAAAAAATGCCCACGGTGGTGTCTTACTTTACATCCGGTCTTCCCTACGTGGGAGACTTGTGAGCACCTACCGAAGTGACGATGGTTTGTGTGAGCTACTGTGGTGCTCCATCCGCCTCAGGCGCGGAGAACTGCTTGTGGGCGCAGTTTATCGCAGCCCCCAGAGTCGTTGTTTGGATTGGCTGCCCCATCTTCAAGCCCACATGAGTCGTCCACACTTTCTACTTATGGGCGATTTTAACTGTCCTCGAATACGATGGCGTGATGTGCAGTTGATGCCCGGACATAGTGAGGTTGAAGCAAAGTTCGTGGATTTGGTACTTGAAACTGGTGCATCGCAACACATATGCCAGCCAACACGCATATCAACACGTTCAACCTCGTCCTGTCTCGACCTGATGTTAACGAGCTACGAACAACGTGTGCGTGACGTTAGGATCCTGGAGCCCCTGGCTACGAGCGACCACTCAGTACTGATAGCTGATATGGAATTATCTTTGCCGTATTCACATCCGCTGCAACCAGCTCCCAACTACTGAAAAACGGACTTCGATGGTCTAGCTCGAGCCGCGAGCCAACTGGACTGGTCTCTGTCACAAGCTGCATCTGTGGAAGATGGTTGGATATTTATAAAAGAGAGATTGACATCATTGTGTTCCCAATTTGTGCCACTGAAATGTCAGAAGGTTGGACCGATCAAGCTTCATCGGTTTGACAAAGAGTATGGAAACCTGGCTCGGAGGCGGCGCAGACTGTGGGACAAATTCCTCCTCTCTGGCTATGCCAATGATTACGAAGGGTATAAATGTGTTACGGAGAGAGACTAGCATTCAAGCCGAGAAAGTGCATCGATCTGCAATTAGAGATCGAACTCGATTATAGATCAAAATGAGAATTGATGCAGACTCAGAGGCAAGTTGGATCACGAACCTGAACCATTTGAGTTGTGTTAAGTAACGCCAATCAGCATCTTTAATATTGTTGTTTAAGTATTTGCTCACAACCTATTTATTGGGCCGTGCTCTCATGCAATAAGCCTCTCTGTCTACCGAACCTTGGTCTTCTGCATTCCGCTGGTGGGCTGGACGCGTGGCTGAGCAGTCAGACAGTGCGGCCTCAAGGGGCAGCTGGCAGCAGTACCACAGTCGTCAGTGGCATAGAGTAGAGGTAAAAAAGGAAGAAGCGTTTACAACAGTGGCGACGGAGGTGTTGAACAATCATGACCATTTCATTCGAGCAGATGCAATCCCTACTTCAGCAGCGGCAGCTTTAGTTTGAAAAATCACAGCGGCAGTTAATTCAGTTGTTATCAGGAAAACTCAACATTCAAGTGGAATGGGAACCGGAACCGAGGTTAACATCTCAGGAAATTGTATCTGAATACCACAAGCTGCTCAGTTCGAATCATGACCCAGAAATGATTGCAACTTCAGATCACAGAGAGGAACCCCAGCCCTGCCATACAGTCATTTGTGGCCAAAATGTGAATGGAAATGTGCCGAACCGGAAGCCCCCGACTGCATTATTGAACGGTGATGGGAGACATTCTGTGAGAAATTGCGCCCACAAAAATGATCATTGTCAAAAATCGCACTAATTCAGATGCACGTATACTCCAAGGTTACAAGCCAGTTCCAAATTCAAAAGAAACAGGTATCGCGGCACAGTGAGAGAGACGGCTTTTGCAGTATTTCGTACACACTTTTCAGGGAAAAGGAAATACCCCACAGTGAAACGCAAGAATGTCCCGATATCGCTGCTGCCAGAAACGTTGTATGCTCTCAAGAGCCTTTCTCGTGGAACCCGGGCAATACTTGGCACATCGTCAGTCAAACCCACAATTCTAACGGTTCAAAAGATTTCAGAGGAACCTCTGCAGCTGAAAGGAAGAATCGCCTGTGAACGCAGACTCAATGATTTGCTACACTATGGAAAAATCTACCCAATATACTGTACCAAAGTTAAGCTGCACGGAATCAATCGGATTACGAAGTTAGATTTGCTCAAAGAATCAATGACTCATGTGAGTTCGGTAACGACTGTTACACTCTGCAATATTGGTCGTACCTGTTCCAAATTCTTATGTCTGTACCAGCTACCAGTACAGGTGACACTGATGTCTTGGCCGAAGCCCGAACCCCACATGGTTACAGATCCAAGTGGACCTAGGTGGATTCCCACGTCGGAAGAGCTGTGATTTTCAGGTAACCCAATTTTTAAGAGAGGGAGGTGTTACGGAGAGAGACTAGCATTCAAGCCGAGAAAGTGCATCGATCTGCAATTAGAGATCGAACTCGATTATAGATCAAAATGAGAATTGATGCAGACTCAGAGGCAAGTTGGATCACGAACCTGAACCATTTGAGTTGTGTTAAGTAACGCCAATTAGCATCTTTAATATTGTTGTTTAAGTATTTGCTCACAACCTATTTATTGGGCCGTGCTCTCATGCAATAAGCCTCTCTGTCTACCGAACCTTGGTCTTCTGCATTCCGCTGGTGGGCTGGGCGCGTGGCTGAGCAGTCAGACAGTGCGGCCTCAAGGGGCAGCTGGCAGCAGTACCACAGTCGTCAGTGGCATAGAGTAGAGGTAAAAAAGGAAGAAGCGTTTACAACAAAATGTCAGCGGAACCTCTGCAACAGTGCAAAAAAGAATAAACGCCGACATTTCGAAGAGCAGCTCGCATTAGCCGCAAATACCGCGCCAAAAAGAATCTTTGCATACGTGAAGCGACGCCTGAAGCCGGCAGGTGATGTGCCAGTGCTGGATGGCACGGATGGACAGCCCCTAATCTCCAGCACTGAGCCTGCGTCCGCGTTGGCGGCGCACTTCGCTTCTGTATTTGCGAATAACCAGGTGTCTGTTCCGAGTTCGACATGTACCGCTTTTAACGAACTCGATATTCTGCATTGCGGCGTTGAAGAGGTATGTCAACTACTCGCCAACCTTGACGGCACCAAACCTGTCGGACCTCATGGGCTTCACCCACTGGTTCTCAAGTCACTTTCAACCATCCTCTTTCCTGTTGTGACTGACCTTTTCAACAGGTCGCTGTCCGAAGGTTCGTTGCCGATTGACTGGAAATGTTCGGTAGTGAAGCCTATTCCGAAAGGCGGCGACCCTAGTAAAGTAGACAACTACAGGCCAATTTGTCTGACACCTATTTTGGCAAAGGTTGCTGAGAAAATCGTGAAGAAGGGATTGTTGCTGTTGCTACAGTCAAACGAGGTCCTGACGCCCGCACAGCACGGTTTTATGCAAGGTCGCTCATGTATTACAAACCTGCTTGTGACGAGGCATGAGTGGTTGAAGGCAATAAGCAAGGGGAAGTCCATCGACGTGATATTCATCGATTTCAGTAAAGCGTTCGTCAAGGTCAGTCATGAGGTTCTCCTTCACAAACTCAGAATGTGTAGTGTCGGTAGCTCACTGCACCGGTGGATCCACGACTTTCTTGTTGGACGGAAGTGGAGGGTACAGGTCGACGACCATCTAACTGACTGGCACCCCTCTACAAGTGGCGTGTCTCAAGGCACTGTGCTGGGGCCCACTCCGTTCCTGATTCACACCTACGACCTACCGCAGCTTCTCCGGTCGCCGTGTGCCTTGTTTGCGGACATGAAAATTTGAAGAGAAACTGACGCTCCCGATGACTGTGGCCTACTTCAGCAAGACCTCAACTGCCTATCCACATGGTCTGCAGCAGTTCATCTCCCGGTTAACCCAGCCACGTCTGTATTTATGAGCCCAGGGAAGGGTGCTAACGGTCGAACCTACATCCTTGACGGCCAAACGCTATATCCCACACCACCGTGAAAGACCTAGGTGTACTCTCACGCTACGATTTGAAGTCCGTGGACAACACGAACAGGCAATATGGTAACGGACTGCGCATACTTTGGGCACTCAAACGTAGATTCGGCACATGGTCTGAAGAGTTTGCCACTCGCCTCTTCTGTTCTATCATTAGGCCAATGCTAGAGTACGGTTCGTCCGCTTACTTTCCGATTACCCGAGGCGAGGCACAAAAAATCGAACGGGTCCAACACGTTGCTACCAGGCTCATCCCGAGTTTACGTGGCTTTGGGTATGAAGACCGGTGCAAGAAACTAGGACTCTACATCTTGTCCTACCGTCGGGTGCGAGTCGACCTCATTATGACCTACCGTATTCTACATCTCGGTGACTTCCCAATGCTAAGGCCAATACTGCACTTAAGAGGGCCATGCAGCACACGCGGACACATACAAACTTGTCGTGCCGGATGTGAAATGTGTTCCCCACGCACTGTGCTTCGAACGGAGAGTGGTAAACATTTGGAACAGTTTACCTGAACATGTGATTGAGGCTACATCTGTGCAACAGTTCAAAACGTTGTTAGATTTGTATTTTGCCACTATTCGATTCAGAGAACGACTGCACACTTACGATGACATATCACATTTGTGAATCCTGAAATATCGTAAGTCAGATATTTTAAATATTACATGAGAACGACAATGATATTCACGGTTGACAACTTTTATAACGTTTTTCACCATATTTCGAAGGAGTTGTACAGAATTCATTTCTACTTGCTCTAAAATACAGCATTCAGTAAGACGAGACAATCCTACCACAATAATAAAGAGAAGGAAGTTCTGCATGAACCTACTCAACAGTGCTCACGCGGGATAGGCTCTTGACCACGTCGTTTGTGCGTGTTAGGCATGTAAGTCAACTACAGGGTGTAACTCAGGCTGACACGACCACTGAAGTAGTTTGCAACCTGTTCGATTATGAAGGTGAAACAGAAGACGATAGCCCTCACGCACCTGTGTTATGAGCTGAATGCTTGTAAAGAATCGCATGCCACCTCCACTGTCCACTATAAGTGGTTATAACGAGTGGTAACGGTTATTGCTTCTCGCTGCACCTCACACGTCAAAGGGACCCATCATCATCAGTACACGTTAGCTGAGGTTGAGAAACACACCTCAGCTAATGTGCCGCAATACATAAAGATCAGAGGCTAAAAAATTACACTACAATAATATGGCGTTAAATTCTATAATGTGCGTTTTGCATGAGATCGGAATTAAAGGGGGAATCTAAAAGGGAGGGGGATGGAAAATAAAACTCACAACACAAATGCCATTGGGGCCGATTCTTCGCCATATCAGCAAGTGTGTCCAACCAAACGTTTTCATCGCCCTTAGGACCCCAACCAAGCAGTTGGGATGCACCAACCGACACCAACTTCAAAGTGAGGGTTTCCATTTCTCTTGACCAAGTCATCGCTAGGCCACTCTCCTCTGCTTACAACCGTAGCCCCGGCACGCAAATAATGCACATCGCGGGAGTCGGTGTGCTGGCATGTGCAACACGTGGCCCATCCATTGGAGGCTGGTGTGTGATGTAATGGTGCTGAGCGGTTCACTCGCTCTTCTTGCACCAACTACGCGACGCCGAACACGCTCATTACTCACGTGGTGCTAAGGGACCCGGCAGCAATCAATGAGGTACCAATGCCCATCAGAAACAGAGATCATATGTCTCGTGTCTTTTCTTACGACAGCACCGAGAATGCGTGACGAACCACAACCATACTTGGAATCGTGACACCTACGACGCTGTGGTTCTTTGAGCAGTAAGCGACAGTGACAAGATTTCGCTATATTGCCTTAAGGCTACAGATCAGGGACAAGCCTGGGGAGCAAAGAAACCATTTCTTGTTTCCGCTTTTTCGCTAACCGACACACCTGATGAATTGGTAGCTCTCGGAAACATCTGCGTTGCCCATCACATGTGACTTCATCACAACAACATCCTCGTGGAGCCAGCTGGGTGGTTTGGGATTACCCCGTTCCAGCAAATCATTCGGCGGCACTGTTCTAAGACGTAATGGGTTTTCGCTAGGCAAGCGTTCTCCCTATAAAAAGCCACACATATCCGTTTAATAACACTGTGATGTGGCGAATGTGACTCGCCACTAAATAAAGCCACAGCCCCTTGCTTCATACTGGTGAAGCATTGTATTCCAGCAACTTAATGCTGAAATTGTAGGAAGTATTGGGCCCCTGTTTGGCAAACGAAAGGCGTATGGACTGAGTAATTAGTCACCGGCTCCCAATGTGCAAGATTCCCTGAATTCGCTCCGCTGCCCTGCGGGTAGGTTATTCGGTTAAAGGCTCGGGGTGGTGTTCCCTAAATCAACATCCTACCTCGGCTTGGGCAACCGGGTAGTATCTTGCCCTCTGACGAAACCAAGGACTCTACTATGTTGTGTTTTCCTTTACGATATCTGCATCTTCCGTTGAGTTCCATGGCTTTTGATGGCTTTATGTCTATTCGTAGATTGTTGCATATATATATATATATATATATATATATATATATATCTTACAAAACGTACACAGGATGTTGCATGGTGTCGCAGACGCATTGAAACTAGCCAGCACGAAGGACAGCAAAACGCACTAAGTCGATCGAAGCATCAGAAAGTCGGTCGCAACTAATACGAATGGAGAAATGGAGAAGCAGCTCCGGAGATTTTCTCAGAGTCGTCGGGTTAAGGCAGCTTGCCACACATTCGGTAGCTCCACTCAATAATTTGCGAGTTCCAACGCCTCAGTAATCAGTATTTGGGGAGTTGATCTCAACCCACACTTAACGATTTCAACAGCATCCATGCTGAGTTCATGAACACGGTGTGCTGAAACTTGTGGTGACTAAGTCCTAACAGATCAATGACCGGCTTCTGCTAAAGTTGTATGGTTGGGCTGATTTCCTAGATACCACTTGGCGACCGCTGAGTGGGAGTTGGGTTACATTACTCGTCTAGCTAAGAGCCAGGACACACAATTCCGTGTGAGTAGGTACATCGAATCATGGCGTATATCTCGCTGCCTCTCGAGAGTACATTTTACCAAAGTCTGGCTGAGGACCCTAGTCGTTGTCATGCTCAGGTGTGGACGCCCAGGCAACA